AAAAAAAAAAAAAAAAAAAAAAAATTCATATTTAGTATTTGTCAAGTGGTTTCAAAGCAATTAATTTAATTCTTCTTTAGTGGCAAATATATATGTAAATGAAAGTATATAGTTTTCTTGATTAAAAACTCAAGAAAATTCATGGGTTAGGCATGTAGCTCGGTGGCAGAGTGCTTGCCTAGTCTGTATGACGTTCTGGGATCGATCCCACCCCTGCAAAACCAAAAACCAAAGCACAGAAACCCTATTCACTCACATTGTACTTATTTCAAAAGGTCGTTATTGTTTTTTTTTTTTTTGAGAATTAATATCTTTATTTTATTTTGATCTTGAGTTTATTGGTGCTTTTTAAGTATACAGTAGAGTTACATTGATCATTGGGATCTTGTACCCTTACATGACAGGTCTTGGTTCTCATTTTTCCCCCTTGTCCCTGCCCTCTCTTCACCTCTCTACCCTCCCCTATTTATAAAGACTTTGTTTCCAAAAGGTAGTTATTCTTGATAAGTTGTGTGTGTATAGCATTTTGGCACATTTAATTATGTGTTGAGTACAGTAAGGAAATTCAGAAAGTAATTCCTGAATTTAAGTCTTCAATAACAAATGACCTTTTGAAAAGTGATCCTTCACTGTTTTATTCCTTTTAAGATATATTTTCACAGTTTAAAAAGAAATATACTTGTTATAGTTGTGCTCATTAATAATTTGTGAGAATTAATTAATTAATCTATTTTAAAGGAATCACCAAAATGATCAAAGCAGTAGCCTTGGGGATTAGTTCAGACATGCCCGAGATAATGGATTTAATCAAGGACATCTTCAGGTAAATGCCTTATGTAAGGTTAAATTCTGATTAAAACAAGGACTGGGGTTTTGAAAACGTGAATAAGTAAAAGATTGTATGATTTTTGTTGTATTCTGATAAAACTTTGAAAGATCTAGGGCATTGTGGCAGTTGTAATTAAGTTTTAATGTTCAGGTTAAAAATTAATGCTTTTTCTCTCTTCAGTACAAGCCTTGGCTTACCCCACTCTTTAGTTCAAGTATGACTGCTTTCACATTTCTTGTGTTAATACTTTGGTGACGTGCGCAACATGAAAGTGAATTAAATGATTGATGATTGCTACATAATCCAAACCTGATTTCAACGAGTCAAATGTTACAGTTTTGGCTTAACTACAAGCAGAGTCTGAGACTCATGGTTTCTGTGACAACTCAAGGTCAGGTGACCTGGATGTGTCTTGCCAAGCTGTTCCCGTGGAATAAATGGGCTGTTTGTAAACAGCACCGTGGAGCATTCTCTCACAAGATTTCAAGTCCACAAAGTATGAGGCAGCTGGGCAGAGGGTCAAAGGTGAAAGGTAATAAGCCACTTTGGGCCCGTTCGTTTCTGGAGATTTTGGCTGCCTTTCAGACCGAGGTCTTGGAAATAGTTCACACAAAGGCCTTCTGCCAGCAGACTACTGAGAGTTGGCTCAGGCAGGATTCTATTGCAAAATCCTCTCTCCTTCTTTCTCTCTATGTCTTAGTGTCTGAAACTTATAAAAATGCAAGGAGTTTTATGAAAACCAAGCCTATAAATGAAACAACAAAATAAACTTATGTAGTATATAAAATAATTTAGAACTATTCCCTTTAAGGACAGAGGTCCAAAGCTTAAATTTGTTATAGTAAATTCTTGCAAAATTGATTGCAAAATACGTTAGAAAAAAGTATATTGAAGTAACAAAGAAGATTAATAATACTGGCAAAAAAACCCTTGGGTCAACTCTAGGCTTTTGAAAGAGGCAGTATATTTCTATTCTACCCGAGCCACCAGACACTCTTTATAAACTATCTGCTGAGATAGTTTAATGAAGGGGCTCATCTACTAGTGTATGTTATGATATTGAGTTGAATATTTGTTGTGTATTATGAGAATAAAGAGTAGAACTAGTCTTCTTCAGCGTTTCTTGTCTTTCTTTAGACTTACTGAGGTTGTTACTCTGTAAAAAAAAAAAAGTAGATACATTTCCCTCCTTTGACATTAGAGCTTGGCTTCCAGGGCCTTCTTTAGTTGCTTGGCTATTTATTACATTTGTCTGTCTTACTAGTTTGTTTTCTCTCTCCTGTTTGTGCGCTACTACTGAGTTATGACGATCTTGTTCGGTTTGGATTTATTTTCATCCCTGGATATTTAATATTTTGTTAATAAATATGTAGGGCATTGGAATATTTTTTCAGCCCTGGGAATCCAGGACCTTTGCACTGTGCTATATCCCGGGCCTTTTGTTATTTATTTATGTATTTATTTACTGGGTCTCACGAAGTTGCTTAATTGTTCCGCCTGGGCTCACCTTGTGATCTTCCTATCTCACTCTCTCAGGGGGCTGGGATTACAGGCCTGTGCCACTGCATTTGTCTTAGAAATTCTAAAAGTAGAAAATGATGAGGTGAAGCTCCGTGAAAAGATAGTAAAGAAACCATTGCCAAACAAGAAAGCACGAGTCATTTGCTCCTTTAACTGGAAATACATTTCTTTGGGATGGTAGCAGTTACAAAGAACCCACCCTGTTAAATGGGAATATTAAAACGTGTCATTTAAAACTTTCCTTTGAAGAAGGAAAATTTTTTTTTGGTACTGGGAATTGAACTCAGATCCTTGTGCTTGTGAGGCAACGGAACCACTGAGCCAAATCCCCCACCCATGTCTTAAACTTTTGATGCCATTCAACACTGCTGCAATATGAAATATTATACACGTATTGGTAAACAGGGTTCTTTTCTATTTTTCTCTATACACGTTAAGTTCCTTTTCCTTCATTTATTTCCTTCCACCTTACTACAGTGTGTTTGACAATTAGAAAATGGCAAATTTTAAGATCATATATTTTAAAAGTTTGAGTACTTACTTCCTTTTCTCATGTAAGAATTCCCACAGAAAAACTTGAAAAAATATTTACTACTTAAAAACATTGAGACAACCTTGTGCAAGCACCAAAGTTCTTTAAATCTGTTCTCTATTAATTTTAGAACTTTAAATGTTTCTCTCAGCTCCAAACTATTATACATCTGACCAAATCTTGCTTCCAGGACTACAGAACTCTGCCATCAAATACAGTGCTTCCATCATTTTTTTTGTGTGTGGGGGAATGCAATGTTAGAAAGTAAATCAGGATGGTGAGGCATGATGTGGGTCATTAATTCGTTTTAAGAAGAGGCAGTGAACTCTGCCCCACTTGGGTGCCTGGTCTCTCTTTGCCACTCTTGTTCATAGTGAAGTCATCCTTGGTCTTGCTGTTGCCCCTTGAACAGGAGGCAAAGACGAAGCTGATAAGCCTGAAAAGTTCAGCCTCTCTCCAGCCAACAGAGCAGCCACAGGGCCCTTGGTGGAAACAGACTCAGGCTCTTGGCATAGAAATCTGATCGAAATGACTATCTAATAGCCTCAAGTTTTGGGTGAGAGGCAGGCTGTCTACTCTAAAAGTACAGAAATTGAGTTTAAGTCTGTCAGTTATGACTTTCGTCATTCACTGGGCAAATCAGAATGTTTGGGCCTCAGTTTTTATTTTTTAAAATTGGTTATAGAGCTAATGTAGCATTGAGTCAGTTTATGGGAAACCATATTCCATAAACTAGAAAGCCTATTCCACAAACAACTGGTTGGCTAGAAAGTTGTGATTATTTGTACAGATTAAAGAAAATAATACCCCCTCATAGCATACCAATTTATCATTTACATTTTCCATTAATAGTCCCATAGGATTACAGTGAGGCTAGAGCTTTAGAATAACAGAAGATCAACTTTGGAGCTGGGAGTGGTGTGTGAGCCCCAGACTCTAGCTGTTCTACAGGCTGAGATAGGACAGTGATGGAGCCTAGGACAGTGATGGCGAACGTTTTAGGGCTTTCGTTATCTGATAAAACAGCCTACTGCGACACAAGTGCCATAGGTTTGCCACCACTGGTCTAGGGGATCAGCGTGAGCAACATGGTGAGGCCCATATCTTTAAAAAATATCAGTTTTGAATTGGGAAACAGGAAACCTAGGTCTACAACATTTCCTTGACATGAACAATCTTTTTTTATTAGTACATATTTGAGGTATGCAATGTTCGCATTCCTTGTGGAGTTAGTGCATGTGCATAATACACCTGAATTCCTTTCTTCAACCCCTTTCCTTCTTCTCTTTCCCTATTCCCTCCATCTCTTGATCCATTTTCCTTTTTTTTTGTTTGTACTGGGGATCAAACTCAGGACCTTTTGCTTGTGAAGCAGGTGTGTTACCACTGATCTAAATTCCTGGCCCTCCACTTTTCTTTCTTTCTTTCTTTTTTTGTACTGGGAATTAGATATGGGACCTTGTGCTTGCAAGGCAGTCAGCGGCACCACTGAGCTAAATCCCTGGCTCTTCTCCATTTTTCATTTGAGAAAGATCTGTCTCCATGCTGTGAATTAATTTATTGAAAATTGGCCATCACTTGATTAAATGATTTACTTTGGCCTTAGTTTCCCAAGAAAAGAGAACTGTAGGTTCTTTCAAGAAGCTTTAAAGTAAAGAAAAAACTTAATTTTTTTGTTCAATCTCTACTTCAATTAAGGTAATTGCCAAAATTTTAACTATTTTTGTAACCCAAGCATTACTTAGACAGTGGTCCTAATAGAGTTGAAAGTTCTTTATCCTTTATTTTTCTCTTAGCAAGTATGAGTTGGCATTTAGTTCCTTCAGGTCAGTACTGGGAGTGATAATTTTTGTGAGCTTCATGCCTTTAATGTAGGACTATTTCAGGAAATTTTACTTAAAAAATTCCTCCAATAATAGAAAAAAAAGTGTGATGGTTAAATTTAGTTGTCAACGTGATTGGTTTGGGAAGTGCCTGGAGGATTAGTAATACCTACTTCTGAGTGAGTGTGGGGGTCATTGAGGCAAGACCCTTGGGTCTGTATGTAGTCCTTCACCCCTACCTCTTTGGCCCTGTTTCTCTTCTCTGCTGCTGGTTGCCTTGAAGTGAGCAGCTTTGCCCTGCCATGTTCTTCTTCCATGATATTCCTGCCTTCGAGCCAACTGACCATGGACTGAACTGTTTGAAACTGTGAGCCAAGTGAAATCTGTTAAATTTCAGATGTTGAATATTTTGTACCAGCAAAGGAAAAGCTGATTTATACAACCACATTTATGAACTTTCATTTGCATTACTGAGAGACAAATATATTTTTAAAAACATAATTCAGGCTAGCCAGCATATATTGAAGATTATACATAACATATATTCTCCTCTTCTGCCTCCTTCATTACCCATATTTTATTTTGAATTGAACTCAATCAAAAATAAGAATTATAGGGCTGGGGATTTAGCTCAGTGGTTCCACCTCCTGCCTTGCAGATACAAGGGCCTGAGTTCAATCTCTGGTAACACACAAAAAAAAAAAAGAAAAAAAAAGAATTATGCTATTCATTTTTACTAATAGTTGTAGTTTCTCTAAGAGAGTGAATTAATTAAAGCCTCATTATTTAAATTCATAAACAGTATAGAGCATGGAAAATTTGCTATTTATTTATTTCTCTTTCAGTGAATCCAAAAGGTAACTGATTTATGTTTTACCTTATCTGTTTATTGATGAATTGTTGCGACATTTCCAAACACTTGATTTTTTAATTTGCACTCTTCATACGGTCAAAGAAATATAAAACTCACAGACTTTTTCCCCCTAACTTAGGTCATGTAGAAGCTTTATTTTTATTGCCATAGAAGTAGTGTACTGCATCTTTCTTGTATTGCAACTCTCATCATCATCATCACCTTTTGCTCATTTAAACCATTCCCCTCATTTTGGAAGAGTGGA